TTTGCAGTGACATAATATTTTTGATGAAATTCCTGATCCAGAGCTGAATGTATTTCCCCATGTGGGGGACCGTCACCTTCTCCTTCAAGATGGGGGCCCATAGCATCTCCCTGCACCTGCTGAGCCATTCGCAGTGTGGGATCACCAACCCTGCTGTCCCTCCGGGTGTCCTTGGTGGTCCTTGAGAGTACAGCTCAGATGGGAACCAGCCCTAAACTGTCTATTTCTGCAAGGGGAACCATCCCCTCTCTCTTGGTCAGAGTCTATATCAGCCTAGAAATGGGGTAATTTGAGTCCAATTCTTGCAACTATAGCCCTTTCCCTGGCAATTGACTTGGATAAGTTATTTTCCCCCCAAGAAGATGGCAGGCAATAGGAATTGATGATTTGTAAAGCATTAAAAACATACCTGGAAAAAACCTGCTCCCAGTTAGACTGGTTCAAAGGGACAGAATTAGTTTATACACGGAGAAAGCAGAAGCATTCGGTGCATTTTTTGCTTGCTGCTTGCTGCAAGGGAGGAGAAAGTCGGAAAAGCACAGTGGTAAGCTATGTTGCTTCAGAACAAAATATTTACATTTTTTCCACATTTCCCATAAGGCATTAGCACTTTTCCAAATGTGACATAGGAGAAGCAAATGCTCAGTGGTCTGTGGATCTAATGTTTGCCTAAGTACCATGACATATGTGCATATGTGTATACTTACATACACACACATGAGATATTTTAGTTCTACTATTTAAATTAAGGGTGGGATACCCTTCAGCACTGCATTTCTCAGCGTATGTGTTCTTATACTCACTTATTCTTTGTTTCTGCCAGTGCCTAAATTGGGAATACTAAACAGCCACAAATATGCAGCTAGCGGAGATGTAGGAATTCATTTGGAGGGAGCAAATTTTGATCTCAACTTGATGTGTTTACAAGGGACAGAGTCGCTACAGCTGCAGGAGAGGAGATTTCTGTGGTGGTATCTGCCTGTAATGTGTATCATGGCCTTGTTTTTGCAAGTGCCTCGGGGCAAAACTGAAGCTTTTAAACAGAAAACAGCAAGTAGTTTCAGTGCCACGTCAGGGATATATGTATATGTACACATATGTATATATAGGAAACACCTGTTTGCACATTGTTGACACTGTTTTTAGTTTTTTACACCACCATGGCTATCACAAAATGCCCAGAAGAGGTAGGTGGTGGGTGCCTGGGAGGAGGCAGCATCCCCACGGCACGGTCCCTTGCCCTCCAGGTGAAGGCGAGATCCGCTGGGGACGGGGAGGTGGCCAAAGGGAGCTCTGACCTGCGGAGCACTCGCTGTTCAACCCATCGACACCTGCAAAGTCTGCCTGTCGTCACCCCGGCTGGTGCCACAATGAGCAATGAGGTGATGGTGGTTGGGAGTGGGGTGGGGGTAGGAAGGGAGGACTGGAGAATAACACGCAACTGGGTGGGTGCTGGGGAGCACAGGAAAGGGAAATTCGACACAAATGCAGGTGTTTTAGCTTCTAAATCATCTTAGTGTTCCACATGTTCCAAAATGCTGCTCTGGCTTGGGTTTCTGGAAATCTGCGCCATCTCCCTTTGATATCTTAATTACCCACTTTTTGAACCTGGTTATTGGTCACCCCAGGAGATATTGGTCACCTCCAGACATGGGTTTCTCAGGAGAGCATCAGGGTCAAGCTCTGCTACCCACGTGCCCCCATCTTAAATGAGGACTGGGCTTATGTGGGAGGACCACTCTCATGCTCTGGCATAACTCCCAAGCTCACTGTTGCTTTTGACAGTTTACCCCTATCCAGTTGGAAAATGGTTAACCAGGCTTCAGGATATCTCAGCAGCCCTCTGCCCCATCAGTGTGCCTTGGGTGCAGTAAACTCATTGCATCTCTGACCTTAAACCTGCCTGCAAGTTTGCAGGCAGCCTGGGCCACGTCAGGCTTACAAGGATGCCCAGATGTGCAGGCACAGGGCATCCCCAGCACTGGGAAGCAGTGTGGCCGGCCATGGGAAGGGGATGGCAGTTGATCTGTGCCAGGATCTCTCCTGGCAGAGCTGGATTGGGTTAAGGGACTGAGACAGAGTTGATGGAGCTAGGTTCTGGGGAGGTGCCTGGTGAGCTGCTGCTGCTGAGAGCCTCTTGCAGCCAAGGGAAATCACACTGTAATATCCATCATGGTAACAAGCTTGGCAAAGAGGAAGCATTATCTCAAGGTACCCCACTTTAGGCAAGAAATGGAGCTCAAGGAGCATGGCTAAAGAGGTAGGAAGCATGGTTGTGGAAGAACAACAGGCAGAACTGGAGCTGTTTCTCCTGCCCAAGACCTGCCCCAGCACCATCTGTACTAGCAGGCACCTAGGTCACTTGTGCAGCCGTCAGAGCCGGCCTCTGCATGGCTAGTATTCACAAAGGTCTGCATGAAACATGTAGCCAAGCTGCGTTTTTACATTTATTCCCATTGACTTAGAGCATTGAAGTCACCTCTTCAGTCTCAGGTCAGCTAGACAATGAAAGGATGACACAGCCAGGCCTTAAATTTGCTGCTCCTTAGGAAAATGCACATGAACTTGACTCAACATTTTGTTCACTGGCCAAAAAGGCAAAAAGTTCATGGGAAAGTTCTTCCTGGACCACACTAATGGGAATATTTGCTGTTAAAATTCAGTGATCTGTATGGAAATTAAAGAGCAAAGGTGTCCGTATGAAAAATTTGTTTTTCTAAGCTCTCTGTACACCCATAGTGAATGAAGCCGGAGCAACTAAAGCACCAAGATCTGCACTCACCAGCATTTTGCCTATGTCTTGGCAGCTTGTCAGTGTGGGTTACGCTCTCTTTGCCCACTTTAGTCCATGCAATATGCCTGAATGTTTCCTCACCCCAAGCACGTGGGATGCAGAGACCTGATGCGATTTGTTTCAGTCACAAACATCAATTTCCACCCCCCCCATCCCCATAAGTTTTTAAACCCACCAATTTTTCCTTTGTCTTTTTTGGCAATAAAAGCATCAAGACATGCAATTCTCTCAGCACTATTGCCAGCCTGAAGTTGTTGAGTGAGTCTTTCAAGGCAAGCTGAGCTGTGCTGTGAAAGCTTTCCTATATTACCCACCACAACAATAAAACATTGGCAGGGAAGCAGAAAGAAGATATTCATGACTCTCTAACTGGACATTGACTCTCCAGCTGTAGTATTGCTTCCTTTGCTCCAGGAATGAGTCCCATTGATAGCATAATTTCATTTTCCTTGTATGGTACTGCATGAAAAAAAATTATTTTTCATTTTTCATTGGAGAGCGGGTGGGTTTCAAGGTGTTAGTTGGTCTAAGACACCATGGGGCGATGCAGCCCATTGATCATGCAATAAATTACAACAGACACACTGCTCTGGGCATGACTCAGCTGCCTTTGAAAGGGAATCCCATCTCTTTTGGGGATGCCTGGAGGTCAGGCACCCTGCCGGTAGCAAGTGATTCATATGTCACCGTACTTACACCGCTATATATAGCACATTCCCCTGTCTTTAATGCTGTGATGTTCAACCCTCGGTACAGGGAAAATGAAAGTCCAAGGCAATCAGATGTCCCTGAAGCAGGTGAGATTTATTTGGGGTGGGGCAAAGGCAGGCAGTGGCTAAGGAGTGCTGTCTGCTGCACTTCCAGCTGCCCCTGCAGCTTGAGACAGCAGCTTGCATCAGCTCCTGCATCCTGCTTTGGCCTAAAGCAATGCGCCTTAAGGGACAAACTCCTTCCCACCCCACACAAGACCCACCCCAACTCAGACCTTAGTGCTGAATCTGCAGGCAGGTGCCCTCCAGCCCCCCTTTTGCTCAGTCATGCCCACTCAGCAGCTCCCTTCCTGCCCATCACCCTTCCCCCTTCACATCCTCCCATCCTTTTTGCCCATCTCTTCCCACCACGACTCCCCCACCTCTCTCCCCTGTTTTATACCCCACCTTTTGGGTGGGTTTCCCTCCCCTCTGTAGGAAGAGCAAAGGGAAGCGAGGGGGTGAAGCCCACGGGCTCGGAGGGGGCACAGCATCATCCACCATCCCCAGCCCCGTGTGCCTCCCCCCGCTTCCTTGGGCAGCTGTTGCAAAAGATCAAAGTATACGGCAAAAATAGCAAAAGGGGAAGAGCTTGTGGGTTTGACATCTGGAAGCCAGAAGCAGCTCCTGCTTTTGAGTAGGCAAGAGGTGAAGGAGGAAGGGTAAAAGTAGGTTTACAGTCTCTTATTTTTTACTGGGATTAAAAACTTTTTATAAAGTTATATGGTTTGCTGTTACTTGAGATAGTGTTGTCTGTCTTAGTCCTCCGCAAGGCCCTAATTTCAGAAGTAGGGATGCTAACAGCACTTATAAATAAAGCGGTGGGTACTTTCTGACAGGCAAAATACTGATTTATCTGTGATGCATCATCTGACAGCCTCATTTTTATTCCAAGGGGTATTAAGAGGCACCTGGGAAATGTCTGTGCTGCGTGGCTGAATAAAACAGGTGCTATTTCCTTTTGGGGCTGGAGGTTTTCAACGATAAGGGCTCAGAAACCACCCCAAACCCAAGGGGATGTTCAAGTCAGAGCCCAGTTTTTCAAAGCCTTTCACTTCTAGGCTGTCTGTCTCCAATCCTTTTGCAAAATCCAACCTCTGGACAATACCGCCAATATGTGTGATTAAAAATCATGCCACCAAATGAGGGGGAGGCTTAAAAAATGAAATTATTTAACTGTGTGGCAGTGTTAAAGTGCATTGCAATATTGGACTCACTCTATAAAGACAGTTGAGCGGGCAAAGTATTTTATAGAAATATGTGTATCTGAGTGGGATGAGAAACACTGGAGGCAACCTAGAATGACATTTTCTGGTGAAACCATTTACCATAGAAAAACGTAATATACAGGGGATGATTTGCGTCCAGTGTGATGAATAATTTTAGCCATGGGAAAAAAGGTTGGGAGGGGGTGTGAGATTGGAAAAAGACAGTTTGGGTTGGTTTTCTTTTAACAAGAGAAGCCCATGAAACAAGCAGAAAACTTCATTTTGGATGAGACAAAATGTACCATCTGATCCCAAGCAGGTTAGAGTTTCCTTTTTTCTTTTTTTTTCCCCTTAGCTGTTCATTCTGTTGAAGAGCTGGAGCTGTTGGGAAATGTTTTGTGGCCCATGGCATGGGGAGGCATCGGATTCCCTGTGGTCCTTTCTAAACTTCACCACCATAATCGCTTGCCCTTAGTTGCCTGGATGTAGGATCAGTGACCACCTCCCACTCCTTCATCTATTGTTAAAATAGCTTTTTTCCTCTTCCATGTGCTCCTTCCAGTCACAAAAATGGAAAATGTCTCTCATTTGTACTGGCTTGACGTGTTTCTGGTGGTTTTCCCCACCTCAAAGCAGGGTTGCTGCTCCCAGCCTCGGTGCATGGTACCAGACACATGGCTCGTGATGATCCAAAACCCTACCAGGTTGCATGTGCTTGCATTGTGCCACTTTCATTAGCACGGTGATTAACCGTCTCCTCGCGGTCTCATGAATTCCAGTTGCTCATCACCCATTGCGTATAGGAGGAAATCAAAGAATTGGGCAACGCTCACCAGAAGACTTGAGAAAAGGAAGGAAAAAAAATGAGTGTGCAAGTGCTGGAGGCTGGATTGGGCAGGAATGAGAGAAGGAAGAAATGCAAAGGTTTTTTTTTCTTTTTTTTTCAGTGGTGAGGGCAGACAGGATGATAGCTGCCTTCATGTGAAACTGGAGCTACATCCAGGAATGGTATTTATATGCACGGATGTAGCTTTCAATCAGGATGATGTAAACACTGCTGCAGAATTTTTTGACCAGGCTGTTTGGGAAACATGATGGATTAAATATGACAAACAAGATTCCTGGACGTTTATTTATCCGTCTTTTCATTTGTGCCAGTTTCATGTTAGGCAAGGCTCTGGCTACCAGACCAATACTAAGCCTCGGGGGCAGGCAAGGCTCGGGGGGAGGGAGCCACAAAGAGAGTGTTTTCCAAGCCTCATCTAATTTAAAGCATCTTTTGCTGAGTGGTGCAACGAAGAGGATGTGGCTAACACAAATAAAAAAATCATAAAGGGATCAAAGTGTGTGTGCAAATTCATTCCTTGTGGCAGGAGTTCTGCCAGTTTGCTTGCTTGCTTTCCTAAAAAAATTTTCTCCCCACTCCCAGCCCCCCATGATGGAGTGAGCAAATCGCATGTCAGAATCTCTTCTGGATTTCATAAGGGTTTCAGCATTGATGAATGGCTGGGATGACACCAGAGCCTGTACATTATGCCTGAGATCTGAGCCGCTTCCCCTCTGTCCCATGGTTGCACATGAAACAGCCGCATGAGTGCGATCTATTTATAAGTGGTTCAAAGGCACCACAAATGTGGGTGGATGCTGGCTTGAAGCTCCAGGCCACCAGGAAGCTCTCTAGCACTTGCAGGAACCTGACATTATCCCAATGAGGTGAAAGATAAGGAAAGCTTGTCTTAAAAATAAAAAAAATAAACAAAAATCAAACCTTTGGAGCTAGGATGATTCATATGAGAAGGCAACAGCTGAAACAATTTGGGTGATTGGGGATTCTTGTAAAGGTACCTAGGTCAAAAGGCGTTAAAATAACTGAGTGGGCAGAACTAATGCTGTACCGTAAATCCTATGGCAAAGGTATCTCTGGTGCTGGAAGATAAGCCGGAAATTTACATCAGATACGAGAAAATCTGCAGGGTTCAGGTTAGAAACCTCTACTGCGATGAACATAGCAATTCATGCACAGGCTGTGCTGGGGGATTCCCACTTGTATGCTCTGCTGGCAAAGGGCAGCCAAGAGCTAATGCTTAGCCCTGCTTTAACATCTCCACGATTTGCTGTGCAAGCATCAGAGCCAGGGATAACCCTGACAACAACAACCGATTTCACAGGGCTGTTGCAGACCCACTGGAGCACCTCCATGGACCACCGTGGGGGCAATGCCAAGCGCTGGCCTCTCCATCCAGCCCCACACTCTGAGCTCCTGCTTCACGGTGCGTCCTGCTCAGATGATGCCCCAGCCTGTGTAGGGTTGGGAAGAGCTCCACCATGGGAGGGGACCTGGGACCCCAAAGAGACCCACTGCGGGTGCCATCCCCATCTGCGGGTTTGCACAGGCTGCCCTTCTGTCTTCTGACCCTGCAATGCCATTACACACATGAAGGAGAAGATGCTTGCCTTCAAGGTAACCACTATAGCCATTGAGTCACTGGTTACTGCCTAGTCCCAAGCCAGTTCTCCCAGTTTAACAAACTCATACCGCTGTGGAAACCACACGACACATCAAGGCCATGGTTGCGTTTCCTACGGGAGCGCTGGCCCACTAGAATAACATCCGCAGAGAACAAAGGCTAAAAGCCTGGGCAAATCTAATGCCGGAAAAAGAGTCAGTCTAAAAACTGAAGGGAACATGCCTTCAAAAATCTTGTGGCATTGTTAATGAAAAATAAACATCCATTTTGCATCTGCAGAGAAAGGAAAAGAAAATGAAGTCAAAGCGCAAGGTCTTGTTCTTATATTCTAGGAATTTTCTCCACTGAAGATTGTCAAATACTGCATGCCAACACTTGGGAGAATGACAACAGCGTCTTTAAGTGCAATGAATCAAAGCACAAGAGTAAATTTTTATGGAACCCAAACGGCTATTCTTAGAAATCATCCAGAATCAAAAAATAAACAGTTCATCAGGAAAAGAAATGTTCGAACTCACAGGGGAGATTAACTCTCATCTGAGTGGAAACAAAACCTCAAATGAGCCACATCATCATTCCCACACTTAGTTAATTGCAGTATTGTTCAAGGGCAGAACCAAGTGGTTGGAAGGCTGCAGAACTGGATGGGGTAGATGCTGTCTTAAAAGAAAAAAAAGGCATAAAATCATAGTTTTTCCCTCGTGGGTAGTTCCAGAGATGTTGCTTTGCCAAGGTCTAGGACGGGAGCATAATAGACGGACAGGGGTGGCTCCGGGAAACAAAGATGTTGGAGGAAGTGCAGAAAAGAGATGGGCACAACCTGAGATCAGGAACCAAATCGTATATTTGGAGATGACTGAGAGAGCAGTCTACAATGTCTTAGGTCAGGAGCGCTTCTGATGGCAGACAGCTCTCTGGTTGAGCAGGCAGATGCATAAAGAGATCTAGCTGTCGATGCACAACCAATTCAGGCTGCAGGCGAGATACCCAGACATAGGGAAGCTCTCAGCTAGCCTGGCTACAGATTTGGCGGGTTCTTCAACACAGGACATCTGCAAGTGAAGATTTGTCATTTTCTTCCCTAAAATTAGTAAATCACAAGATAAGATTTTAATGCCAGAGCTACCGAGTGAAAACACACTACCTGTATCTAGCCAAACTAGTTGCTTTTAATGAAAAGCAGATGCCCGTGCACTTCCACCACATGAGAAAACACAACGCAGATTGCCCTCAGCCTTGTAGGACTCTGGTTCTCAGTTTTCAGCCCTGGTGTTGATGCATGTGGGGCTGAGCATGTCGGAGAGGGGCAGATGGCTGTCTTAGCTGTGGTGGGATTCACATTGCATGCACACCTTCCTTGGCTTTCTCTTTTCTATTGAAATGAAAGCATCTTGGGATGGTCCCACCACCAAACAGTGGCCTGGGGGGACTGTGCGGATGAGAGACCTTGTAATGATCTCTGCCACATATCTTTCGGGGGGAGAAAAAGGATATCCATAGCCTGAAAGGGGAAAATGCTCATTAGCAAGTATCACCATGTGTTTACCTCTCTGGAGCTGCTTCAAAATGTGAACATTCATGGAACAGATTTTTCTGCAAAGAGACTTGCAGTGAAAAATCTTCGTTTCACACAAGATATCCCCAGAGAAAAAAGCAAAAGTCAAACAAATTTGTATTCTTTAAAAATAAAACCAAACAAAGCTTCTTGGATGACTCCATAAAAATTCTAACAACAACAGCAGAAAAAAAAAAAAGCCTGGAAAAACAATTCACACAAAATAAGCACTAAAGGGCCTCTGTTACTTGCAGGTATATTCCCAGTGATTTCTTTTTGTATCACACAAACACCAACAAAGTCATTAAAAGTCAATTCTTTCCTTTTATTACCAATAGCCACGGCTCGATGATTCAAACCACATTCAGTTTTCAGAAGGGAGATTTTGATCAAAGCTTTTTTAAAATCAGATGAAAGAAGTATTATAAAAAATGTTCATGCAATATAAGCCAGGAATTGGAAATGGCTGTCCAGGAGAAGAGCTGGGAATATAACAGAAAACAAAAACAAAACCAAAAAACCTCAAGCTGATACTACAAATAACTGTATGAACAGCATTACAAGTCAAAGAAAGATTTACAAAGGCTGTATTTCTTAATTTCTAGAATGAAGAATCCAATTACCATTTTAAAATATGGTTGACTCAGTCAAGTCGTATGACCATTCAGTGGGAGGATATTATTATTCTTATTTTGAATCTTTTCAGGCAGGCGACAGCATCCCAGGTATGACAAGAATGGCCAAGCGTGACACAACCAGGTTCCTCAGGATGGGACCTTTCCTTCTCAGATGTCCTCTTACCACTTCTCTAACGTGGGTGGTAATTTGTTGGGGAAGCCTTTTTGATACAAGGAGGTGGCAGAGATGAGGATATAGTTGGGGGTGTGCAAAGTGGGAGGAGAGAGAGTGAAGAGGAGATGATGGGTAAGGAAGTGGAGAGCAGAGATGTGCAGAAATGACCTAAAGAAGGTGCATGTTTTCCTGGTGAGGGACTCTGGAGGAGATCCCAGCAGGCTGGTGGGAAGTTCAGCTTTGCTAGCAGGGTTGTGTTCATTGTTGTCTGGTGGGTGGCTGTTCTGAAGAGTGTTTCCCTTCAGCATACAAGGAATGCAATTAAACACAGAAACCTTCACCCTCGTTTATTCTAATGGCCTTTCACCCGTGTTTTGGCAGCAAGGAAGATGCTGAGTGTATCGTATATCCCAGCTCTAAATGTGTCTTGAGTTCCCTCCACCAAATGACACTGTTATAGGGTTTCTATGTGCTCCAGTTCGGACATATCTGCTCTAGCTTTAAATGCACTCAGGTCCTGGAACAAGTCTAGCCATGGAACTCAGTACTGCCTAATTTACTCTGTCAAGGAAACTTTGGAGACTGCCAAGGACTCAAGAAAATGAGTCTGCACTGAGCTCTGGGAGCTGGAGTCCCTGAGCTGCCTTATTTGTGGAGACCTTGGGTATCCTGTGGTCGGTTGCTACCTGTTGCATTGGCATTTTTGGGGGTGGTGAAAGCACAGTGTGTGGGCAATCATTTCCCACTGGGTACCCTCGATACCAGCCCCCTCCATCTCCTTCCTTTGGGGAGGTTTGGGAGGGCTCCTGGTGGTGGAACAGCATTGCCCAGGAGAATATTGCAAAGGCAGGAATGCGAGATGTGATTTTTTTTTCACAAATATCTCATCTTGTCCCATTAAGAGTTGCTGGATCTATGGCTTTCTCCACAAAAACGTGGCTATGCTCAGACATATAAAAATATTTGCCAAAGCAATGATTTGCATGGCCACATCCACACATTTAAACCCCCCTGTCAAGAAGAAAAGGCCCGTATAAATTATGATGGGCTATTCCCTGAGACAACAATTTCCCACTGTAAATGCAGGACAGTGCCAGGCACAACCACCATGGTGGTTCCCATGTCCAAAGTCAGCTTCTGCACAAATTTCCAAGTTTCTGGACAAATGTGGTGGTTGTAGCTCCAAAAGTGCTACTGGGTCTCTGTGCCATGGGTCATGACTGTGAAAAACTAACCATTTAAATTTCACGTCAATCACATTCTGTGTGTTACTTCTTTAAATGTTAATTTATTGCAGCC